TTTTAACGATTCTACTAACGCTTATGACTGATTTTGAGTAAAATACGATTTTATTAGTGATTTGAAACGTTTTCCTACCCTAGAAACGTAAAATCGTACGATTTTACGCTTTAAAGCGTGATTTTGACTACACTGCTCATGAGAACTCCGAAGTTAAACGTGCTTAGTGTGGAGTACAACAAGGATGAGTGACCTTATGGGAAGTCACCTTGAATTGCACCCCAAGTCAAAAACTGTGAGGGTCGAAGCCCAAAGCTGACAATATCTTCGTCGGGAAAAGGTGCGGGATGTTACAGTAATAGTGATTTTAACTTGAAGATTTATATGCAATAAATTACAAATTACATGCACAATCTAAAGGCTATTGTTCACTCATCAAGGGTTATGGTAAGTATCAATGCGCCCAAAATCTGAATAATTCAATGTCTAGATAGAACTTTTTTACTATGAATATACGGTACACTAAATTTTACCCAAAGTACGATATAAGAGGTCTATTTCCCCATAGTGTGTTTGCTATTATATGGGTTATCAGATTTGGAACACAACATATTTCGACCATGAAAAGTTGTAATATTTGTGCCTGACCAATATAAATTAATATAATTATTTCATGGTTTCTGAATTATGGGCGTAGTGATGCATGGTTAGCTCACAAACAATCGGGACATTTTATCAAGAAAAAAAAAACAGCCGAGGCTCTAGGTCTATCTATCGTAGAGCAGACCGCAGAGTAAAAGTTCTTTGATTATAAACAGTACCCCTAGTTATGTCTTCCGATTAGGAGGGGTGGCGTTAAGTGTTCCAATTAAATAGAAGTTTATGCTATTTTGCCGTATGGAACAGTAAATAAACTTTTCAATATAATTAATAAGTTGATATAATTATTTTATAGTTTCCGAGTTATGGGTGTAGCGATGCATGGATAGCCCACAAACAGCCGGGACTTTTGTCAAGAAAAAAAAAGCCGGGACTCTAGGTCTATCTATCATAGAGCAGACCGCAGAGTAAAAGTTCTTTGATTATGAACAGTACCCCGAGAGAAGTGTGCCGATTAGGAGGGATGGCTTTAAGTATTATAGAAGTTTATGCTATTTTGTGGTATGAAACAGTAAATAAACTTGCCAATTAATATAATTAATTAATTATTATTGTAGGGTCAAGAGGGGACCAGATCAGGTCAGTATCCTTACTATCAGTAACTATCAGTAATCCAATCATGTGTCCCCACGTGTCAGCTTTTTCTTTTTATTTAAATTAAACACCGAGGGGCACTAAGGTAAAAATGCACCCCCTATTTAATGATGTCTCTGACGCGCTGACGCTGACCAGATCACATCAGCGCCTTCTCTATCCTCAAACAACCTTTAATTTTCCTTCTCTTAATCTTTAACGGACGATTTCTCACTCGTTTTAAGTCGGAATTTAATTTTTTTTTTGCACAGTTAGATCAGATTAATTGTGCACTTCAAAATGATATCCACTTTGATATTTTTCAGACATAAAAAAATTTGACAGTTATTACCAGTCTATACCATATGGTAATGACTGGTATTGACCATACCATATGGTATGAAAAAATTTGTGACATCAATATATATTACGTAACCACCCAATACCATATGGTATAGTGTGGTAATATCAATATATATTTCGTTACCACCCAATACCATATGGTATAGTGTGGTAATATCAATATATATTTCGTTACCACCCAATACCATATGGTATAGTGTGGTAATATCAATATATATTTCGTTACCACCCAATACCATATGGTATAGTGTGGTAATATCAATATATATTTCGTTACCACATAATACCATATGGTATAGTGTGGTAATATCACACAATACCATACAATACCATATGGTATAGTGTGGTAATATCAATATATAATTCGTTACCACACAATACCATACATTACCATATGGTATAGTGTGGTAATATCAATATATAATTCGTTACCACACAATACCATACATTACCATATGGTATAGTGTGGTAATATCAATATATATTTCGTTACCACCGAATACCATATGGTATAGAGTTATAATATCAATATATATTATCTAAAAGAAAAAAAAAACAGAAGGAGGTAGAGAAAAATCGTCTTGTGTCGCCTCTCATTTCCTCTTCCACAATCAAGAACACCAAAATGCCAAAAAAATGAGAAAGATCGAAATTGAGGCCAACGAGATGATGAAGAGAAGAAATGCAATGAAAAAGAGTGGCTCCAATTTTTATTCGTCATGTAAAAAAAATAAAGAAGAAGAGAAAGGAGCAGATTTAGATCTAGAAATGAGATTGAGAGAGAAAAAGGAAGAGAGAAAGAGAGAAGATCTGGAAAAGAGATTGGGAGAGAAAAAGGAAGAGAGAAGGAAGATAGAAAGTTGCAGAGAAGTGATTTCTCTTTCCTTCTTTAAAAGTGCAGCCATTAAATACGAAATAAAATAAAATAAAAAATTTAATGTATAAACGGACAAAAATACCCTTCCCTACTCAGCGTCCGGCCCAACCACACGATTGCATGCCTCTTAGATCTATGGTCCCTATTCATTACTGACATGTCAGTAACCAAGTGGTTACTGACCCTATCTGCTGCCGATCAAGAGCATGACACTTGTTTTTTTCATATTCTGTAAGCGTGAGAAGGTTGCAAATGCAAAGAAAATGTCATATGGTAAAAATCTTGTGCATGCAATTTAAATCACTGGAAAGCACACGCATTGCACATCTCGTACTATTAGAGGAAATAATTTTCTGAATTGCTATTTATAGCCCTAACTTTTTCTTATTTATAGCCCTAAGAGAATATAATTACTATTTTACCCTTCCTTCCTTTTAAAATATTGAACTTGTTACAACTCCAACCAAACACTCCCTTCCCTCCCAATTCAACTCGCCGGATTCCTCCCAGATTCCTCCCAAATATTCTCGCCGGCGACGACGAGCTCTCGCCGGCGACGACGAGCTCTCGCCGGCGACGACGAGCTCTCGCCGGAGACGTGACTCGCCCCTTCTCTCCTGTCGCCGGTTTCCTCTCAAATACGACGACCACCTCTCCCCGGAGACGACGACCTCTCGCTGGAGACGAAATCAGAGCGCTTCGCGAAGGTAATTTTTAATTTTTGCACGAAGGAGGTGACGACCGGCCGTTTGACCCGCCGCCGGCAAGGGCGACATCCTGCCCAGGCGTCGCCGGCGACGGACGAACGTCCGGCAGGACGTCGCCCTCGCCGGCGGCAGTCAAATACATTTTTTTTAATTTAGGTTAATTATCTATTATAATTATTATGATTTAATGTAGGTTAATTATATACTTTAAATTAATTTAAAAAATTACTTTAATTATCTCCTTTAATTATGTAGGTTAATTATATGCTTTAATTATTATGATTTAATGTAGGTTAATTACTCTAATTATCTGTTTAAATTATATATGTTAATTATCTGCTTTAAATATGTTAATATTTAATATATACAAAAATTATGTTGGTTAATGTTTTCATTTAATTGAAATTAGATAGGAAAGGTAAATTTTAATTGATAAATATAAGAAAGTTTAATAATTTAAATATAGAATTTTATTTCATAGTAAGTATTAATTGTTGTACGAACCTTAAATTGCAATTGACAATTTAAGCAAGAAAATTAAGTTAGAATTCATCGTGAAATACATTACAATTTTGAACATTATATTGTGATGGGAATTTTATTGTAATTGAAATTATATACGAATGTTAAATTATAATAGACAATTTAAGCAAGAAAATTAAGTTAGAATTTATTGTGAAATTCATTATAATTTCGAATATTATATTGTGATGATAATTTTATTGTAATTGAAATTATATACGAATGTTAAATTATAATAGAAAAATATACGAACCTTGAACATTTGAATATAAAAATTTATTATATGAGAACTAACAATTATCATAGGAACATTGCTAATAACTATTACATGATGATAATAATCTGACAATAATTTTAATTCAAATTTTAATAGGTAGAAAATGGTGGATACAAGAGGAAAGAAGAAGTTGAAGGAGGTAGAGCCGTCGAGGGTGACCAACCGTATAGTATTGAGGTCGCGTCGTGAGGAAGCCGAGAATGAGCGTCGACGTGCTAGACTTGTGGAGAATCCTTCTCCCCCGCCTCCCGTGCCTTTTGACTTAGATAGAGCTTTTGAGGGAGTGGATGAGTATGATGGCAGTGATGACAATTATGATGACTTCCCGGATGTAAATGATGCTTTCTTCGAGAGCAACCATCCGAGTGCAGGTGGTTCTAGTGGACCTAGATTAGAGCCCGAGGCTCCTTTTGCGTCTTCTTCGTCCTCTCAGTTTGTTCATGTTAGACGTGGGGCTCGTGGTCGTTTTGAGTCATCACGACCCGATTCGGAGGAGGGCAGCACTAGTAAGAGGAAGAAGGCGAGAGAAGCTGATTCGTGGATTCTCGACAGGAGTGGGCCGGGGGGGCCTATCGATCATAGCCTGATTCCTAGTTTTGGAGGTCATGTGGCTTATCGATTATGGGATGATGGTTTAGGGGCTCGCCGAATGGATTCATTCAAGTTGTCGACTAGAGCATTGGCAGTCAATTATTTGAAAGATTACAAATTTCAGAGTGAGGGTGCTGCAGCATTGGTTGAGAGGACAGGGTTGCGCAAGTTGTTGGACTGCTCGATCCAGCACTTGGACGGACCTTTACTTGTGGCATTTGGGGAGAGGTGGCAGCCTGACACCAACACCTTTCACATGCCTTTTGGAGAGATGACCATCACGCTCCACGACGTTGCAGTGTTGCTTGGGATTCCAGTCGGTGAAGATATGGTTGTAGGGAATGAGAGTGTGAAAGCACAGTTGTGTGAGATGCTGAGGGTCGAACAATTGAATGAACGATCCAAGCCTTCGCTTAAGAGTGGGGGTTTAGTGTGTGTTGAAGCTATGCAGCAGGTTGGGAGGTTTCGGGAAAGAGATTCTGAGGTACGGATGTTCTTGACCTGTTTGTTGGGGACCACCTTGTTTGTGGACAGGAGTGGGGATCGGGCGCAGGTTTGGCCTCTCCAGTTCTTGGGGGACACTAGACGGGTGAGGAAATATTCTTGGGGGTCTGCTACACTCGCCTATTTGTATAGGCAACTCGGCATGGCGTCTCGAGCGGATTGCAAAGGCATGGGTGGCTGTTTGACCCTCCTTCAGAGCTGGATCTACGAGTACTTCCCGTGTTTACGAGATCAGAAGTTGGGGACACGTGGAGTGGTGTGCGGGGAACCTTTTGCTAAGAAGTGGGAGGGGGGTGAGAATTGGAGGTGGGGCACAGTTGATGAATGAGAGGTTGGATCACTATCATCGAGTACTGGATAATATGACAGATGAGTTTGTTTTTTGGTGCCCATTCGGCCTCAGACCTGGTGAGATGGTCTCTCGTTCTTTGTACTCTGGTGTCATTCGGTGCATGAGTGTTGAGGAGATGTATGATCCCTCGCGTTGCCTCCGTCAGTTTGGGTACGTACAGACCATCCCCTCAGATCCGCTTCCTCCAGTTGATGTTTGCCGATCTGCGAATGTCAAGATGTACTCCTTGTCCTACGGTCCCGGCTTGAGTGAGCTTTGGAAGGCCCCTCACTGCCACTCGGTGCAGTTGGATTCGATATCGAGACCTGTTCAAAAACCGGAAGATATTGGATTACAAGGGTTGCTTAAAGAGTACGACGAGGCGACTCCATAAAGTGGTATATGGGACGTACCCACCCGAGGATCGTCTGCCCCAGTGCTGCTGACCAGGAGATACACCACCATCTTAGTCATGATCAGGTAAGTTTAATTATGTTATTGATATTGTTATTCTGTACAAGTTTAAATATTGCATTAGTTATCGAATAACATACTAACATTTACATTTTTATACAGTTAGCTGTGAAGCTCGTCCGAGAGTTTCGCACTGTGATTGAGCACCCTTATGATGACCACCTTGATCTTCTTCTTGGATTACAAGGGTTGCTTAAAGAGTACGACGAGGCGACTCCATACCAGCCTCCACCTCAGTACTAGTGTTGTTCATGTAGTTTGAGTACTATGTAGTTTATTTCTATTTGGAGAACTATGTCGTTAATTTGGTGTTTGAGAACTATGTCGTTAATTTGGTGTTTGAGAACTAAATCGTTAATTTGTTGTTGGAGGACTATGTCGTTTATTTGTAGTTTGAGAACTATGTTGCTTATTTGTTGTTTGAGTACTAGTGTCGTTCATTTGATACTTTATTTGTATGTTTAGAACTATGGTAGTTTTAATTTAAAACTATGTTTACCAAAGACTACAAATATAAAGATAACATGAGTTACAAAATACTCCTTATTTACAACTATTTTCGTTATATACCAATACTACTACAAATATCTCCTACTAGTCATGATGACCCCCAAGTGCGAAGTAAAGATCTCGCTCGTCCTTGAACAACTGCTCCCACCCTTGAGTACTCATTTTGTCACGGAAATGGGTCCACAGGAAGGTGAATGGAGGCATTGGTATTGAATCCTCCTCAAAGTCAAGGCGCACCCAATGGTTGCCGGTGTTACAAAACACCAACACATTGCTAGGGCGAGCTACCCCTGGCTTGGCTATCATAGGTAAAAAGGTTTGTCCAAATGGAACACGTCTCCTCACCCCATCTTTGGTTTCGTCTATTTGACTGTAGAGGATTATGGCCCAGTTAAATAATGTTGCAACTACGGCGAGATCCGACTCAGTCATCCAATGATCCATTGTAGTACCCTCTGGCTTGTTCCACTGTAATCGTGTAAGAGCAAGACCCACATCTTCATATGCGTACTCACATTGTTGGATCGACATGACTTCATCTATAATAGCCTTTCTCACCCACAAGTGGTGATCCTCATCTCCATGAAGTGCATGTGAAAGAGCTCGAAATCCGCAATGTCCATCAGGAGCAGGGTCCCACCAACCAAGACATCGATCTCTGACACTTTCTGGGACGAAGCGAAAGTAAGGAAAAACATTCACTCCATCAATCTTGGTCATGGGATCCCTTTTCGGGCCACCTGTGGATGTAGTTTTTTTTAGTTATCTTATTGGCATATTAAACATACTTATTGAATATCAATGAATTTAACAAAACAACTCAAATTATTCAATACAAACCTGTAACATCTGAGGTTGTTGCTTTTCTCTTTTTATGGATGGTAGCATCCTTCGGGGCACCTGTTAGTGAAAATTTTGTTGTAATTAACTTATTGGCATATTAAACATATTTATTGAATATCAATGAATTTAACAAAACAACTCAAATTATTCAATACAAACATGTATCATCTGAGGTTGTTGCTTTTCTCTTTTTGTGGATGGTAGCATCCTTCGGGGCACCTGTTAGTGAAAATTTTGTTGTAATTAGTTTATTGGCATATTAAACATACTTATTGAATATCAATGAATTTAACAAAACAACTCAAATTATTCAATACAAACCTGTAACATCTGAGGTTGATGTCTTCCTCCTTGTGCTCCTTCTACCTTGACGTGCGGCAGCGTGCTCATGCCAAGAAGGATCACGAGCGTTTTCCCTTTTAGGTGGCCAACCTTTTGCCTTCGTAGACACTCGTGGCTCCCTAAGGCCTTCCTCTTCGGGGTAAAGCTGACTCATTAATGCGACCTTGGCTGCTCGAACTGCAGATGGACCACATCTACACACCTCAGCCACTAGATCATGAAAAATCTGAAGATCATTGGCGTCATTTTCTTCGAACCGTCTTGCATCATGAGGGTTAGCATAGTCCAAAGTAGACCAGAATGGTGCCAAGTGTGTTATCTGAAAATGGTCTCCCGCTCCTTTAAAGGAGTTGATTCGACAACTGCATGGGAGCCCATGTGTCCTCCCAATCACACAATCACATTCCGAAGGAGTCTTCTTTCCCTCTACAAACATCAACTCAAGCGCATATAGGCTTACACTTCCCCTTATAACGCCGTAGGGTGGTCCATAGGCTCCTTTGAATGTCTTTGTTCGACATGTCTCTAGCTCTTTCCTAATTTCGATCACTTGCCCCCCAATGCTAGCATGCCATGATAAAAATAATGTATTAACTCCCCCAGTCGAAGTGTTTAACCAAGCTTTAAGAGTCGAGTGAGCCGATTCAACCCTATTCGTACTTGTGTTACCAATATGAAAAATATTGTTAGTGTAAGCACAAGCCCACTTCTCTTTATGCTCCAAGCACTCACGATCCAAGTATTCTATCAACTTACTATTCCTCCCCCAAAATCCATTTTTGAAATTTTCCCATTCCTCAATCATGGCATGTGGCGTGGTGGCTTCCATCACCTTCTTCCAAGAACCATGTACCACTCCTCGAGCAACTTCTTGTGGTATCCCCAAATCCATCATCTTAGCTTCAATGTTCCGCTTTATGTGCCATATACACAACAAGTGAGCCGATTTCGTGAAGACCTGAGGGATAGCGGCAACCAATCCTCCCTCCTTGTCAGTTAGAATTGCATTCGGTATGCGATCTCCAAGCATGTTCTGTAACTCTCTCAAAAGCCAAACATAAGAATCCGTGGTTTCCCCCTCCATCATAGCAAATCCAATGTTGAAGTTCCTCTTGACGGGGGTAACACCAATAACCTGAACCAGGGGCCTCTTATATTTGTTCGTCTTGTATGTGGAATCAATCAAGATTACATGGTACCAAGCACTCAACATCCGAACGGACTCAGGGTGAGCAAGAAAAAGGTGAGTAAGGTGGCGATCATCATCACGCTTGTAGCCAATGTAGTACCCCATCTCTCTCGCATGGTGTAACGTCCAATCCAAAGGGGTCATGCCACTCAATCTCTCAATCCTTATATTTGCTGTCATGTTGTAAAATTGTCGTTTGTTATGGTGAGTACCATACTTTTGGTTGATAGTTTGCATCATTTTTCGAGGAGCAACACGAGCCCATTCCATCTCCTTCATATCCTTTAGCTCTTCATTAGTAAAAGCATTCCTCTGAGTGTGGCCTTCGGGATAAAGCTCTAATGCATGGTTGTGAAACCCACAAAATTGTCCCGGATTGTGATTGTCCTTCACACCATCAATCATCCAAGTCTTATCCTCCCGGAGTCCCACCAGTCTCACTCGAAAACGACAACCATCTTTAAGTGACTTTGTGTTGGATCGTCCTTTCTTATCCGGATCTGGGACATATGTATTGTTCTTATATCCACGATGGCAGTGAAGATATATTCGGGGGTACTTCTCGCCATCATTTGATTTGGTTGATGAATGTGTCAAAAAGAACCCAAGATCTTTTGCAATCACTTTCGCAGCTTCCATAGCTTCATTCCATGACTTATATCTTGTATTTGTTATGAAAAATTGAGAATAATCAACTTTGTCTCCCTTATCTTTCGGATCTCCCTAAAATAAACACATTTATCTTATTAGTGATACTAATTTTGAAATGTTTGTTGTAGATTAAATTATTCCAATTTGATATAGATTGAGTCTTACATAAGTTTCAACACTTTTCATGACTTGTAATGTTTGTTGTAAATTGAATTCTTACAATTTGAAAATGGATTGAGTCTTATGTAAGTTTTAGAAAATTTGATGACTTGTTTGCAATATTAGATTTTATATTTATCTTCTTATTAAAAAATATTAAACATGTTATTAACAATTATTCAATATTCGAACATAAACTAATCCAATACATTTTCAACAAAAAATTAGCACATTTAGCATGATTAACTACCAAATCCTAATATTTCAATATGCAATAAAAAAAATTTAACAAGTAGACACGTACTCATTAAATTATCAACAACACAACGTTGTTAACAATTATTCAATATTTGAACATTAACTAATCCAATACATTTTCAATAAAAAATTAGCACATTTAACATGATTAACTACCAAATCCTAATATTTCAACATGCAACAAGTAGACACGTACTAATTAAATTATCAACAAGATAGTAAAATCAATAATTCAACATTTTTCAAACAATATGTATCATTGTAAAGCAAATATTTAAGCATATTATCAATTACTAGACTTCATCATAACAATAAATAATTCAACATGATTCTAAAATTAAAAATTTTAACTCACTAACCGTGTTACTCATTATCTGATGTAGTGATATCCGGAAGTCCGAACTTGACCAACTTCAAGAAATACATACAAGAAAAATATTTTCAGTGATACTAACATAGTTTCAAAATATAAAAAATGAAATTCAAGAAATTCATTCTAAAAATAATATTATAGCAAATCCATCCTAAAAAATATGATAATTACAATATCATAAAATAATAAACTACAATAAAATCGCTAAATATTCTTCAAAGTCTAAATTATTGTTAGTCAACATTAACTTAGTTTCAAAATAATAAAAAATGAAGTTAAAGAACTTCATTCTACAAATAATATTATAAAAAATCCTACTAAAAATATGGTAATTACAATATTCATAAAATAATAAATTACAATAATAAAAACACTACATATTCTTAAAATATGGCAATTAAAAGTCTAAATTCAGGAAACATTAACTTAGTTTCGAAATATGAAAAATTAAAATTCAATAACTTCATTTTAAAAATAATATTAGAACAAATTTTTCTAAACAATATGATAATTAAAAAATCTAAAATAATAACCGAAAATCTAAATTAATATATTTTAAAAAATCTAATATACTTCACAAATTTAAATTAACAAAAAATTAAAAATAAAATAAAAAATCGGCGACGTCCCGGAAGGACGTTCGTCCGTCGCCGGCGACGTCCCGGCAGGACGTTCGTCCGTCTCCGGCGACGTCCCGGCGGGACGTTCGCCCGTCGTTGTCGGGTAATTTGCCGACGTACCTCGTCGGAGAAAGGAGCTGTCGTCGTCGGAGGTGGCGGTCGCCGGCGGCGAGTATTGTAGGATTGTGTTTGGAAAAGTGTTTGAATGTTTTGGTCTTGGAATGTGTGAAGTAAATGTATTTAAATGTTATGGGTATTATTGTACTTTTTATAATTTAGGACTACAAATAAAAATAATTTAGGGCTACAAATATTACGTCCTATAATAATAACATTAACAAGCTATCTAGTTGCAAGTAATTATAATTAGCTATAAGGCAAAGTGGATGTGCATGAGAATAGAAAGGCTATTAACATTTTCTTCGTGTTGCCCTAATTGATTACCATAATAATAATAAGACTATAAATTTCTATTTGGATTCATAACAGGGGGGAAAGTTCTAGATCATTTTGTACTAAATGAATTAATGTGTAAAATTTACTGTCAAATGAATTCATGTGTTTGGCATGTCATACTCAAATCTTTAGAAATAAAATGAATTGAATTCTCCAACCATTTTGGCATACGTTTAGAATTGAATTAATTAAAATCCATCATATAGAAAACGTCTTTGTTCTAATACGTAGAATATCAAAAGTGTTCTTGTGTATTTCTACTCTATTCATTAGTTATTTTCTAATATTTCGTCGATGAATTTGCTCTCTAATTGTGGCTTCTCAACGTACTAATACAATCAAAGCAGAAATATCATAGTCTGCGTGTGTGGGAGCAGCGGAAAGAAAGAAGAGTCTGGTTTGATATGAATTCAGCGGCGTCTACGACTATGTTTATGGCTAAATAAGTGGGTTGTGGTAAGTGACCAATTGGCAACTAAATTAGTAAGTTCATAACAAATTTGTCTGTTCAGTAACAGTAACATAGGACTCACTCCATTTCAATTAGTTGTTTCGTCCAAATTGCTCACATTAGCTAGTCAACTCAATCAAATTAATAATGAGAAGGTAAAAAACAAATGCATGCCCCAAATAAAATATTTGACATACGCGATCATATTTACGTTTAACTCATAGGTTGGATCCGATCCAAACTCGTTACATCAGTTACTGTTTGTGCCTAGTAGATACTAGGCAGTTTGTAGGGCAGTGACGAGGCGTCTGTTCTTGAATGAAGGGTGTACTCCCGATCCCTGCAAAACAAAGGTCCGTGGGCGGTTGCCCAGGACACTCTCCGAAGTTTAAGTTAGATAGAGAAGTGTTTCAGAATGTGTTTGTTCTAGAGAGAGAGAGAGTGGTTGAGTTTACCATCAATGCTCTCATGGTTCATTTATACCTGGTATGATGGTAGGTAGGGTGTTCAAATGGTTACCATGGTTATTACCAAATCAAATAAGGCTAAATTTCATTAACCATGGAATACAATATCGTAACCAAACCGTCCAAACTAATACAACAACCAAATTAACCAAATTAAAGTTTAATCGGTTTGGTTAATTGGTTAACCAGATTAACCAATATAAAATCACATTATCATTAAGTGAGAAAATTTTCGGTTAATTTATCAATTCACAATTTATATAATGAATAAAACATAGCAATCAACACTTGGTTATAGTTTACCTTTAACATAAATACATGCAACTAAGACAATTATCTTACGGTTAGTATAGAAGTATTCACCTAGCAAAAATTTATCACAATAGTATTGGTTAATGAATTGTTGTGTTTGTTTGAATTGACTTAGTCTTTTAGCAATTTTCATAGGCTGAAAAGGACCTTGCTTTCAAGTTTTCATCCAACATAATGTATGGGATTTATCTAATTAGGCGTTCATATGTTGTGGTCTACACTCTACATATACAAATATATATTATAGGAACAATATCAAGCTTTATATTTTATGAGTCTAAAAGGGATGAACGTTTAACTCTTGAGTGGTTATTCAAAGTATTAAGTATGTATATATATTAGATATATGACTAATTATTTATCTGGTTAATTTGGTTTGACTGGTTAGGAATGTCTGAAACCAAACCAAACAAGCTAAAAACTTTAACCAAACCAAACCAATTAACCAAATTAACCAAACCAAATTATCCAAATAGTACTGGTTAAAACGGTTACCATGGTAACCACACCGTTTGAACACCCCTATTGGTGGGTGAGTCATTTAATTCTACGTCATGCGTCCCTGGCAGGCCTACTCCCTAGGTGGACCGCCTGCGGCGGGCAATAAATGTTCAGTCTTACCCAACCCGAGGTTCGTATCTCAATGGATCTTTACCTTTCTGTCATAGTCAGTCGCTTTATGTCAAGCGCCCTAGCTACTCCCTGGTTTAGAGTCGGTCTAGGACCGCCTGTTATCCCAGTCCTCTGCTGGGCCAGATACTCTGCTGGACCCGGTTCGCTAACTCTCTTTTTCTGGATCCCGAGTCTCAAGTACGCTCAACTACGCTGCCCAACAGTTACTGAACTTCAATGAGAAGTATGTTGGAACCACAGCGAGTGATTCCCAATTGACCCCATAAGTAGGTTGGATTGGGTTGGGTCGGGTCGGGTATACGGGTTACGAGCAAGGAGTTCAAAAAACAAGGGGCAGTGGGGGTTTGGCGGGAGTTATAGGTTTTGGTGGTGAGGTACATTATTGCACATGGGGGGATAATGGGGCATCTGAATCTCCCAACGCAAACACAGTACGCCAAACCAAACAAACCACAAGCACAAGCAGAAGCAGACCATCCCAATGCCAATTTAGCAGTTTTCTTTTATCTGATCTATCATCTCTCTGTCTTCCCACTTTGGGGTTTTCTTTTGTTAAAGCGGCCTTTGCTGTCCCGTGGCTCTCTTCCTTATTAGTTAGTATGTGTAATGGAGGGGTTGTAAGGTAAGGTTGTTGACGGAGGAAGGTAAGGAATCAACCGCGTGGACGTATCATGCTACTTTTAAAATCGTAAGGTGGGTCTTTGACTTATATTGTATTATTAATCCAGTACATACAGAAACGGACAAAGTATTCACAACTAATCTCATTTTAAACTTGTTATATATATAAGGTCAAATAAATTATAAACCTTTTTTTGGTGAAAATAAACCATTTCAACATTACCGTTTACCATGAAATTCCAACTCTTTTTACTTTGAAAGGTGAACAAAATTTTGGGTATTATGAGTTATGACATATATTGTTACTGTATTCCTAAATGCTGCATCTTTCTACTTCTTCGTTCTTACGATCTACCGTTATCTTCAATGGTGTACATGACATCTAATACGGATTCTCTGATTGAGGGTTTGACCTACTGGTAAGTAAAGTGTTTCCAAATTGTATGATTGGAAAATAGAAAGACAGGTCAAAGGGGGAATTAATTCCTGGCATCATTCATTATTCCAATTTGGTGACAGATGTGTTAATTAGCTGCAAGCTGTGAGCAGGTTGTGCATCATCTGTCTGTGTAGCTGTCACCACTCACCACAACATGAAAATGGTCAAGTGGCTAGTAAACCGGCCGGCTTTGCCCCCACGGCCCAACCCTCGGCGGCAATGGTAGGGTTCACTTCTTCTACTTGTATCTCTGAATCACTCACGGCTTGCCCCATTCTTCGCCAGAATTTTTCAATGGCCTAAAATACTAGTAGTCAACTTATTAAGCATGGTTTTTTTTATCTTATCTTATCTTATCTCCTCCGGCTCAATCATTAATAATATAGTTAACCACACAATGGGGCTTGTTAGTGAATCTTAATGAATGAAAGTATGAAACACCTCTTTGCTTAGCACTAGCACATAAAGGAGACTTGGATTGTATCATTATATAGCATAATGTCCCAATTTCCAACCGCTTGAAGTTGCAACGAAAGGGCAGTCCACTCCCATTGTATTGTTGTTATCGGTAGGTAGAAAGGTACACCTTTATGCCTGCCCAAACATATTTGATAAACTATTTTGTTGGGAATGAAAACAAATACACACGTAATCAGCACTTTTTGCTGCAAAAAAAGTATATTAGGCCCGTAATTATTGATTGACAATGACTGGGCTTTCATTTCTATTTTACTCGTCTACTGTTAATATAACAATTATAATTATCTTCCCTGCGTCTAGATTATATTGACGTATCATCATTGTGGCCATTAACATTACATTAGGCAACAAAAAACAATGACGGTTGTGATGTCCCAATCCTTCTCTCCATCTCTTTGTAAAGCAAGTGTGTTACTGTACAACTACCAACCGCCACCTTCCCTTTCCCTATTTTTTCTTCTGCTTATTATTATTATCATCTAAGCATTTTGCATAATTGATTTGATAATATAATAGGTAGCATAAATGTGTGTGCTCCACCACACTGCTCACCGACAATCTCACATATTCCCAATAGGAATATATATATATACATATTAAATTCATGTATATATTGTATGGTTTGCGTTGCACAAAATAAATTGAAAAGAAAATACAAGAATTAAAGAGAAACAAAATAAAGACAGAACCCGTGAGTGACCGGACAGGCAGGACAACCAAACAAATTGGTGGGAGAGAGCGAGGGGAGGGGGGCGCTTTCCTTCCCAACTTGCTGGCTAGGGTGGGAGTAAACAGTAACTCTCGCCTTTTTTACCCCAGACATTCCAGACACAGTAACCAAACTGAAAATGAATGCTGGGATTGATCACACTACACTACTCAAAAGTTGCAACTCTAAAATTGAGAAACAAGAAAGAATAAATTGAAATGATTACATGAACATTTAATTACAGTAAATTTCACCCTCCTTTTTCCCCTTAATCTTTCTTCATTATGATGAACAAAAAACAAGCACTCAAAAACCCCTCTCCCTTGCTCGCTTCATTCATATATAATATATATTTATATGGATCCTAATAATAAGCAGGGAAAAGAGACCTTCCTTCCTTCTATGCTAGATGATGCCCACATCAGCCCTTCCCCTTCTTTATTATCATTTCATGTTTCCTCCTCCTTCTTCTACACAAAAGTCTTTGCTACCTGCCATGCCATTTGAAGAAGAAGAAGAAGAAGAAGAAGAAGACAATCAGGTCACCCAAATTACTCAATTACCCTCTAAACATCAACAAATACACAACCCATATCCAAGTTTCTCCACAACTTACCAGTTTCTCTATCTCCTCCAATGGCTCCCCAGTTGTAATTTGCTGTTTTTTTTTTTTTGGGTTTCTTTTTTGTAAAAGAGAGAGAGAATAAAAAAAAAAAGGGAATAAAAAAAAGAAAGAAGTTGTATGTTCATTGACAGGAAGAAGGGGTGAAATAAGAGCCAATCACTGTGCAGGCTACCTCCATCAATTTCCCTGCAAAGTCACACACAACTTATTATTAGTGTCATAGTCAACCTTCCATGTTATATAAGCAACCGCCTAACTCCCCATCTCCATCACCTCACATGCATAACCCATAAGATTGCAAGGGGGAAAAAAACAAGAAGAAACTCAGAAATACAGAGAGAGCAAAAACAAAGGGCTGATAGTAAAGTAAAGTAAAGCTCTTTTATTTGTTGTTAATTAGTAGGAAAAAAAAAACAAGAACAAAATCGGTAGTAGTCGGATTTTATGGTGATTAACAAAATAATGGCACCAAGGAAACCGCGTAAGGACAGCCAGCCAGCCAGAAACAATACACAATGCCATACCCCCATGTTATGTTGATGCCATTCCAGCCCCAAATCAGAATATATATATATTTTCTAAAACTACTAATAACTCATAATATTCCAAAATCCAAATACCAACTTATAAATGGGAGAAAAGGGAGAAACAAATAAAATTGAAAGTGGACAAAAGTAATGGTTGAACCAGGAATTAGTTTTAGTTTTGGCATCAACCTCCTCCTAATGAAATAGAAATAGAAATAGAATAGTAGCAGCTTCTGTTCTATGCGTGGGTGGGGCAGACAGAAAGAGAGAGGGGTTGGCTCACAGCTTGGAATTCCCTGGCTTCGCCTGGGCCTATACCTTGATTAAGACTCTCTCCAGTCTCCGGCCAGGCTGGGAACCAAACCAAAAGCCAACAGGTCCATGGCCCCCCGCCAACCCACGTTCACCACCCAGTTTTATTATTAGTTACGCTTTGCTCTTCTTACCACCGCCGCCCGGAAACTCAAAAACTAAGGCAGTCCCCCTCACAATCATCTTTGTCTTAGCTTCATCACCAATTCAATTTTGGCACTTAATCTCATTCACACCCTCCTAATCTCTCCCAAATATATCGAATTGACTGACGTCTTATTGTCAATCCTTCATCCTTAATTACCTGCTAAACAAACACCTATTCACCAAGTTCCAATGTGAAGTCTTGTATGATTGTCTTCTTCTGCATTCTCGGAATGTCACATCACCCTAACACTAACAATGATCATGGAACTAACCATTGAAACAATTTGGAAATTTGGGCTCTGCGTCACACCCAAGCAGCCTATCTATTCCAGCTCTACCACACCCCCTTTTTTTTCCCTAAAGACAGCAGCAGCAGCAAATGGGACATGGGGGAATTTAGAGCAAGAACATTTCACCTCTCCACCGACACCCTCTCCTTTTTACCCACTAATTATCCTTTTCACTAATCCCCCTAAATTACTAGCCACAAACATAGGCAAAAAAAAAGGCAACAATGGGGAACAGAGTAATTTGTTGGATCGTGCATTATTAAGATCAATTAGTTACCTCTCCTGGGCTTGGTCACCACTTTGACGGGACTCGCCGGCTTCCTCAGCGGCTCGCCGGCTTCGCTCTCCGGGAACAGAATCCCATCAATCCCCTGTACCGAAATCCTGCCGTCCGTGTAGATGTCCGGGTCGAACAGGTACGCCGACACGTCACCCGCCCCGAACTTAACCGACCCGTCTGCCTCTTGCGCAGTAACCTTGTGGGGCAACCGCAGAGTGTCATACTTCACTTTACCAAACCTCCTCACCGCATTATACATGCTCTCTTCCGTCTGGTACTCGGGGATGATATGGTAATAAATGATCTGCTCCGGCGCGCCCGGCTCACTGAGCTGGTCCGTCGTCAGTTTCGCCATCGCCTCATCGTTCGGCGCCAGAACAGTCAGCACATAGCCTTCGGAAACCAGCCGCCCCATCTCGGTGGCAAGCGAGGTCAAATTGACCAGGATATCCGCCATTTCATTGTACCCGCCGTAATGCAACAGCGTGTGGATGAAGTCCTTCACCTGGCTGTGCCCGTCGAAGTGGTGGTGTGGGCCTCCGGGTCCCGGAGCGGGAGCCGGAGCTAGAGAAGGACCCGGGGCAAGAGCGTCGTAAATGGGGAGAACGGGTGGGGCTCCGACGGGTACCGCCGCCGCTGCGGGTTTCTTCAATCGGTGGGTTCTGGGATCTACTTCGGGAGCTCCCTCAGGGATGACGGCGGAGATGGATCTGAGATTCCTGCGGCGGTTGAAGTCTTCCTGGACGGATTGAGGGATGAGGAGGCGCTCGATGCCGTGGATGACACCGTCGGGTCGGGTGACGTCGTCGGGTCGGACGATTTCGGCGGAGTCGACGGTCTTCTGGCCGGTGGGTTTGGTGGAGAGGTGGAGGTGGTGGGAGGAGGAGAGGGTGCGGTGGCGGCGGGATGGGTCGGAGGGCTGGGGCCAGTCGGGGGATCCGACCCGGGAGGGGAGAATGTGGGCCATGAGAAGGGTCTGGAGGGAGTGGAGGTTGCGAGGCTCGAGGAGGAAGCGCTTGAACTCCGGGTCGAGGCGGCGCTCCAGGGCTTCATTGCGTGGGGCGAAGATGGTCAGGTTGTGGTTGCCGACGGCTTGCTCGAGAGTGTGGAGGAGGAGGGCCTTCTCGACCAGCTCGGCGAGCTCGGTGTAATGGGAGTCGAGGAGGGCGACGAGGACGGAGTTGGAGTTGATTTGGGCGGCGGCGGCGGTGGAAGATTGGGAATGATGGTGGTGTTTGGGGGAAGAAGGAGTGGGCAATGCGGTGGAGGTAATGGAAAGGGTGAGGAGGATGAAGAGGAGGGAAGAGACACCATAGATGGGAATTCCTCCCATGGTGCTCGGAATTGAGAAAGGGAGTTCAGATTGGGCTTGGGAATGGAAGGAATAGAGGGTTGGGGATGGAGGGGGGAAGAAGAAGAAGAAGGGGGGATTTGGTGAGGTTGCGTTAAGGTGGAGGGGAGAAGTGAAGGACACGAGGAATGGAGAGATGAAGAAAGGGAAAGAGAGAGAGAGCGATAAAGAGGTGCAGAGTTGGGGAAGTGAGAGAAGCAGAGGACATTAATGGAAGAAGAAGGAGGAGAGAGAAGACAGGCTGGAGGTGGGGATCACATACAGACAGGGACATCTACTACTCTTTTCTCCTGCTGCTGCTTTTATTTTTTTGGCCAATTTTTCACTGAACACTCTCTTTGTTTAATGAACACACATAAAGTGGTAACGAGTTACCAACAACCAAGTGCAAATGTGGCGTTGTCTGTACGTGAAAGCCAAGTTTCAACCTTTATACCACGGCTTCGAGGCTTGGCTTGGCTTGGCTCGGCTCGGCTCAGCCTCGTCCTCAATGGCTGAAAAAAAACCCAGCAAATCATGGTCTAATTTCTATGAAACAATTGAGTACCGTAAATGTGTACATCTGCTAAAGAGTAGTTTAGAATTTAGTGCTCGATTTAGAAAATTTTAGTTTAATATTTTCTGACTTGTTTACTAGCGAGTTGTATTTGACTTGTTTAGTCTGTGAGAGTTGCGTCGTGAGTCAGTTTGACTCGGTGACTCATTAACCTCATTTTATGAGCTGGTTCGTTTTGAAACTCATGAGTTGGTTCGACAATGTGGCTAATAAGTCAATGGACTAGCATTAGAGAATCGTTCTATAACTTATGAGTTGTCTTGTTGATAGTTCATATATATGTTATTAGATTATATATTTCACACTATAGAATGGTTAATGACTTTGACTATGTGACCAACTATGTATCATTTAAAATTTGAAAGAGAACATATTTATCATAGATTGTTTACCTACTAATTGTGATTTAATACAATGTTGTTGACACCTAAATTTAATTCAGCTGGAATTAAATGCCGCATTAATTAGTCTCGGCATTTAATTCGATACCGCGGATACAAGACGGTGTCGTTGGAAGTCGAACGGCGTCGCGGAGAACTAAAAACGGTATTGCAATGTAGCTTAGCGGTACCGCGGTACTGGAAACGACACCGCTTACCGAAAAACAAAAGGGGCCGCATGTTTAGTGTGGGTATTGGAGAAGGAATTTTCTCTAATTAATTATTATTATTATTTTTATTCCTTGTTGGATAGGGAGAAGCGGCACCGCGGAGAGCTAAAACGATACCGCAAGGAAGACCAACGGTACCGCTATACTAGCAAACGATCGTGGTTAAAATAAATAAAAAAACAATGTCGCAAAAGGAAAAACAAACGGAGCCGTTTTGGGCGCTAATGATGTCGTTGGCCAATACACGAGTTGGACTAGTGACGGCCAGATTAATTAATCAATATTTTTAATGACTTTTTAGCAAGGTGTCGTTTAGTTGAAAACGATGCCGCAAGAGGAAGGAACGACACCGCGGGTTTAAAAACGATGTCGCGGGTGGGCCAAACGATTCCGCAGTAGTTAAAACGACAACGTTAAATTTAAAGCGGCATCGCAAAATTCAACAGCATCGCAGAAATAGAAAACGATGCTGTTTATTTAAGAACGACGCCGTGAAGTGAGAGTTTGATGGCGCGTCAACAATGATGGCCGGTTTAATTAATTAATATTTTAAGGATTATTTTAGACGGTGTCGTTCAGTCGAAAACGACGCCGTGGGAGATATCAACACCGTCGCGGTACTGAAACGATGTTGTTTAATAGAAAACAACGTCGCAGTGGCGAGAGTCCAGCAATTGTGGATTTGGCTCAGTGTCGTTTTGGGCCAAGTTTCCGCGTGTCCAAGCGGTTTCGCACTCGTGGGAGTTACGCAACAAGAAGGAAGTCACCTGCAAGGTTGACAGGGATGAAGACGTGGGAGACAAAGGCGCGAAGACAGTTACTAAGACTGCGGGGAGAAGAGCGAAGTATAAAGATTGGGAAGAGAGAGAAGCTCGAGACGGCAAAATCAAATCACAACTGCACCATCCCAGAATCTATCTTTTTCTCTCTAGTTCGTAGAACTTCTCTGTCAAAGACCTCCTTTGCAGAGTCGTAGTAGTTGTAGATCGTAGCCGTAGTTGCGGAGCTCTCCAGAGGAACCTCCATAGGAGTAGAGGTAACGTAACTTAGAACACTCCTGGTTCGATTTTCTGGTTATTCGCCGAACACCCTCGTTCGAACGTAGTTTGGAGAGGTGGTGAACCGAATAACGGTTGTTTGATTAGAAGTCAAAGGTGTATCGATCAAATCAACATCGCCGACGCCGGCGGTGGATATTTGACGGTCGTCTTGGTTTCTGTTTTAATCGATCAAATCAACGGCGCCGACTTCGGCGACGGATATTTGACGGTTGTGTTGACCTTGTGTTTGTGTTTTACTTGAAAACAGTGCGCATTGAACACGCGAGTTTCGCCAACGAAACAAATGTCATGAACTATATATGAACTAAATATGATTCCAACGTAGTATATAAACGTGGAATCAATTATTCATGAAAAAAGTTACTATCATTTTTGTATTATCAGTATATTAATCACGTGTATCATATATAGTATAAAAATATTTGAATATCTAAATTATAAATTAATTTACCGTTTATATTAGAGGTTCAACCATTTAGAATCATAGATGAAGTGCTAATCAGAGCTCAAGTAGATCAAACTCAGTAAACTCATTTGTAAACCAAGCTCGAACCAATTTGGAGCTATGTTTAAGTTAGACAAACGTGTATACATGTGTGGGGTTACGGTTGTTTCATTCTTCTTTCCCCTCCCAATTTACTGCTACTTTACTCCATTCTCAATTCATAGCCAGCCTGCGTAAGAATTTTGTGGGCTTTGGCTTCCAGCTGCGCCTTTTATCTTGATGTTGACTCACTAACATCTTCGTATAATCCTCAAACTCAACTCCTCCCGGACAACTATGGTCATGCATCTGGTGACATTTTTTAAAAATATATCGTTAAATGTTGTTCTAAAATGTTAAACGTCATTCTGAATTTGTTTACATCAAAATAATTTTCATTAATTATCACATGTATGAATAGATTGGACACTTTAGGGTATGTTTACTTTCATTTCTGTTTCCTGTTTTTGAGAAAACAGATGTTGAAAACAGGTGAAAACAACATATTGTCGTTTCCGAAAACTGCAGGAAGTTGCCACTTTCTGTTTTCATAGTTGGAAACGAATAGAAAACGGAATGAAAAGTAAACAAGTTTTCTCATTTCGGTTGCCAAATTTATGACATAAAAACAGGAAACAAAAATAGAAGTGAACAGGGCCTAAATAGTTTGGTCCATGTGTACATGAATGGTACAATTTATTAAATCGTAGGTTTGGGGGATGGTAGTGTCCAACATTATGAATACCATACAAGTCTCATTATGGATGGTAGTGTTCAACATCATGGATACCATCCAAACCCTATGATGGATGGTATCATCCAAGATCAGGGACACCATCCCAAATATAATGGACACCATCCAAACTCAAAGTGAATGGTGTCATCCATCAACATGGATACCATCCAAGTTATTTGGTGTATGGTGACCATCTAATTGTTCATCAATGGTACGTAGGGTTGATTGTCCCGGGACATGATGACGTGTCGAAGGTGGTTACCATACGCAGCAGCTGACTTGCAAATGACGCTCGGAGGAATTACTGGATGCTACTTGGAGCTGATTTTCAGGAAGAGAGAGAGAAGGAGGTTAGAGGGTGAGACACAACAAAACTGGCAGCAAGATTCTGGAGAATGACAGACAAATTAAATCACAAACAGTCTCGTCAAAATTTATCTTTTCTCTCTAGAATAGTAACCTAGCAGTAACACTAGAGACCCTCCACGGGACTTCTTTGTTAATTGTAGTCAGTAGTTGCGAAGCTCTGAAGAAATCTCCATAGGAGTAGAGGTAACTGTAAGTAGATCCTTGGATTTATGCATCGAGCACCCTCGTTCGAGCAGTGTTAAAAGAGGTGTGAACCAAATAACATCCTTTTTTGTGTTCTTGAAGCCAGGGGTGCATTGATCACGCGAAATTCCACCAAAAACAAATTGCCACCGGTGGTGTAGGGTTCACCCGGCGTCGCTGCTCACCTCGACCACCACAGTTGGATGGTAGGTTAACATTTTCACTTTCAAGATTTGGAAAGTCTTGACCATCTCGATACAAAGCCCTAGTTTGTAAAACTGGCCTGTTCAACAATTACCTAAACTCACCCAATTCATTCGTATTTTTGTTTACCAAATCAAATAATTAAGCAAGTCATCTATCAGTACGTGAACTCAAACCATCAATACGCTCATCCAAAGAAGCAAGACGAACGTTTACATGCTCGTAGTTATTGTTCATCCCAACCACCATTTGTTCCACCATTTGGCGAATCAATTGTAATGCTTCACCTGGATCGACATTGGGCGCCATAGGTGGCACCTCTGCTCCAGCATTGTTTCCTCATGCTTGGTCAATTTCAATGTTGACCAACTGCCCCTCCTCCACAGCACCTTGTGGAGGATCACCATCCTGAATCCTTCGTACAGTGGCAACCACCGTACCAACACCTCAAAGGGTGAATGTTGGCGAGAGTCACGCCACTTCATCTCAGATCCATGTTGAGAAACCACCACCTGTGCAAGGTGTTGCTCTACAAATATTCCAGAAGCCAGAACATACATGGCTCCTGTTAATGTTGGGATGGTTTGGGTTGATCATTTTGGCTTGATTTTTTGCTTTCTTGGACTATTTTACGCTAGGTTGTGTTTCTTTGTCACATTTCATGTCCTAGCATGTAAATTGAAGCATAGGCGCAAGTTTCAAGTCAATCGGAGATCATTTGGCAATTCGGGAGAAGAACACGAGCATGACCTGAGGAATAATGGACTTCTACCTCCTATTATGGACAAATAATCATGAAATTTTGTCATGAAAAGAAAGAGGACGAGACTACGAGCGTCTGGGATCAAACGGCGACTGATTCAGAGTCCGGATGAGGGAGAAACGAAGCATTAAACAGAGGTTGAGCAAGCTACACGGGCAAGCCTAAAAACCCACACGACCGTGTGACCTGGCCATGTGGCCGTGTGGAAATCACCGAGCCTTCACACGGGCAGCTGGGAAAGCCACACGGCTGTGTGGCCTGCCCGTGTGATCGGG